TGTGTGTGTATTTTTGTCTCATATCTCTGTGTATGTGTCTTTTCGTATCTGTCTCTGTGTCTCTCTGCATCTGGGTTTGTGTGTCTATTTTGTGTGTGTGTGTGTGTGTGTGTGTGCAAGAGTGTGTCTGTCTCCTGTATTTTATTTATTTATTTTTCTTTGGTTTGTCAGTTGCTTACAAGATAATAAGTATAAGTAAAATATACTTATTAGATAATAAGTATAAGATAATAAGTATAAGTATAGTTATGAATACATGGATCCATATAAGAAAAATAAAAAGAAACAATAGGACAGGGACGCGTCGGTGCACTTATGCCCTACAGACCTCTTAGGAAAGGGGTGAGGTCAATAGGAGACAGTCTAAGGTTAAAGTTTTTGGAGTTTGGGGATGTGCGTGTGGGTGTGTATTTTTGTCTCATATATCTGTGTGTCTGTGTGTTTTCATAACTGTCTCTGTGTCTCTCTCTGTATCTGGGTTTGAGTGTCTGTCGTGTGTGTGTGTTTCCTGGACTTGTCTTGCCCCTGGGCAGCAGTTGAAAATCCAATACATTGATTGAAAAGCAATTAAAACCCACAACCTCCAAGCTAAATCCCAACGCCCTTCCCACGTGCAAATGCTCATCTGCCTTGGGGATGGAGGGAGCTTGCAGGGCCCATGATGACACACACACACACACACACACACACACAGAGTTCAGGAGTTCAGCCACCCAATTAAGTCTTGGAAAGACAAAACAGGAAGGGAAAAATAGGCATCCATCTTGGACTTCCTTTCCCTGCCAGAAGGCCCCAGAGTCTAGGCACGCGCGCGCACACACACACACACACACACACACAGACAAGTGGCCTCAGGGACTTTTTTCATCTTTTTGGTAGCTTCATGCGTGACAGCAAGCGCGGAGTCTGCAGTGACAGGTTCGCGAGGATTCCCCAGAAGGGAATAAACAAATGGGAAAATATGCAGAGGATCTTTGGGCTTCTTCAGAAAAACACAGCCAAGCAAATCCTTTCCAACTGAGGCCCAGCCAGCATCTCAGGGGGGCCCCAAGATCTACTTACCTATCTATCTCCATCCAATCTGTCAATCAGAAAATACTGCTACCCTTCAAAAAGACCTCATCTATGTATCAGAACGGTCAAACAAATGGCAACTTCAAATCTCAACAAATAAATGCTCTGTCTTACATATTGGCAGAAAAAATCAGAAAATAAAATACAAGCTAAATAGTCAAGACCTTGTTGAGGATCCAAACTCTGTCAAGGATCTTGGAATACTCACCTCTAATGATCTAAGTGCTAGAGCCCACTGCAACTACATAGCCAAAAAGGCATTAAGGGTTGTTAACCTAATCTTATGTAGCTTTTTCTCTGGTAATATCACACTACTAACTAGAGCATACAAAACATTTGCTAGACCAATACTTGAATACAGCTGATCAGTCTGGAACCCTCATTACGTATCTGATATTAGCACAATTGAGAAAGTCTAGAAATATTTCACAAGAAGAGTTCTCCACTCCTCTACTCGTTGCAGAATACCTTATGCCACCAGACTTGAAATTTTACATCTAGAAAACCTTGAATTAGGCCGTCTTCGGTCTCATCTAAATATGGTATATAAAATCATACCTTGCAATGACTTACCTGTCAATGAATACTTCACCTTCAACCATAACAACACAAGAGCACACAATGGATACAAACTCAAGGTTAATCGCACCAAACTTGATTGCTGGAAATACTTCAGCAACGAAGTGGTCAATGTCTGGAATACTCTGACTCTGTGGTTTCTTCCCCAAACCCCCAAAACTTTAACCTTAGACTTTCTACTATTGACCTCACCCCTTTCCTAAGAGGTCTGTAAGGGGCGTGCATAAGTGCACCAACGTGCCTACCGTCCCTGTCCTATTGTTCCTTTTTATTTGTCTTATGTGTACCCATTTCATGTATTCATAACTATGTTTATACTTATACCTATTATCTTGTAAACGATTGACAAATAAATAAAAATCATCTACTTATCTCCATCCAATCTGTCAATCTATCTTGTCAATCATCTGTTGATCTATCATGTCAATCTATCTTTTGTGCCTTTCTATTGTCAATCTACCTGTCAATCATGTTGAACTATCATCTATGTATCTATTATTTGTGTATCAATTATCTGTGTATCTGTGTGTTGTCTCGCCTTTCCTCTTTCCCAAAAGATGAAAGAGTACAAACTCGCACAAACACAGGCAGGCAGGCTGGCTCGGACTTCAGAGTTAATTCTTTGGAACTGATAATATTCTGGGCACTCCAACACATCCTGTCTGCCAAGTCTGAACTGATAACAAATAAAGTTTTACTCACAGAAAATCACCAGGAAGTCCACAAAAAGAAATATTCACGAAGAAAATCTGAAGTAAGGTTAAACTTTGTCCCGTACAAAGTTTCAGGAGAAAACACACCCACTTTTATCCCCCGTGGGGTGTGGCTCAATGACTCAGCTCGCTCTCTGACCCCCCCACGCCTCCTACGTTGCAGCTCACATTTCTCCCTACGACGCTGCTTAGGATCTGCTGCTTAGGATCGAGCCAACACTCTTCCTCTTTACTCCCTGTCAGGGGCTGCTCCGATATGCCTTCCTCCTGATTAATCTCAGGCTGTTCCTCTCGGTTTTCTGATGGAATCTGAGGCATTGCCAGAGAGGAAGGTCCTGGGGAGGAAGGCATTCCCAGTTCCTCCTCCTCATCTTCCAGGTCCTCTTCCTCCGACAGCATAGGCTCGGGAATCGGGGCCACAACATCTATGTATCTATCTCCTATCTGTCAATCTATCATTGCTCTATCTAGCCATCCGTCTCTATCGCTGTCAAACTATGTCAATCCTTCCTTCTCTCCCTCCCTTCCGTGGGATCTAGAGACAAGACAAAATTAAATTTTTAAACATTAAATTTTATTAAAGAATGCTTACAGAGAACATAAAAAACAAACACCAAGTAATGCAAAGTGGAAAGGAAGAAATAATCTCAATGTGCAAACAGAAAGAATAATAATAATTTAAACAAATACAAAGAAGAGCTTCCAGTGGCATTTAAGTACAATTACAAAAAGATTTTTCACCAAATGATTATAAAAAAGCTCCACTTTTTTCTATTTTCTATTATTATTTTTTTAATAATCAAAGCTCAGTTGTGTTCATAAGTGCAGGACCACCTTACACATTCTAGAGAATTTCTGTGGTAACAAATATCAACAATGCATCCTTTTATAAAAAATATTTTTACGGTTAGGACATAATGTACATTTTAATCCTTTCAACCACGTATTTTCCCATTGTTCCCTTTGTATATTGTAACCAAGTTTTTAGTGCATTTTATCATGCATTCTTTCATTCGTTCTTCTGTTTCAAGTTTTAATAGAAGTTTATACATTTTAAAAATAACATACTCATCATTAGTACATAATTTTGCTTCCAACGTATGTTGCTCAAAACCCTAAAATATGTTATCCACCTTAAGTTTTTCTAACAATTTGACATTAAAAAAAAAAGTACTGACAAGAATATCCTTCTAGAGTTAAACCTTCCCTACATTTTATTTTACAACCCACTTGAGAAAATTCAAGTACCTCAGGATAAATTAGCCAATATATGTTTACTTATCATTTCTCTCGTCCACACAATACTTCTCGAATTAAAAGGCATAAAAGGTGTTTTGGGGCAAGAACCTTTATTTCTATTTATTCTACACTCTTAAAAATAGCCCCATCTCTCATAACCATTTTTAAAATCTACGTTGGCTTTGTCATACTGCAGGTTACAAAAATGACCCACCCAAATCTCCATTCATGACCTTCTAAACCCAGTAACTTTCTATTTCATAACTCAGGGACAAAAATAAATTTGATTTGGTATTTCGGTGCAACTCAAAATGATTATAACCAATATATATAACCTTGTCATCTATTTAGTAGTTTCCTCTTCCTGCCATGTTAAAAAAAAATGACAATTCAGGAGGAACTTTTAGGAGCAACCAGGCAGCCTCTTGGTTTCATTGCAAATCGAATATTGTTGGGACAAAGAAACGTGCAATCACGGGTGGTCCCAATTTTTAAAATAGGAAATCCAACCAACGGAAGTGTTTGCCTTCGGAAGTTGTGGGAGCTTCATCACTGGAAGCTTTCAAGGAAAGATTGGATTGACATCTGTCAAAAATGGTGTAGGGTCTCCTGCTTGGGTGGGAGGTTGGACTAGATGACCTTCAAGGTCCCTTCCAACTCTGTAAATCTGTAAAATATGTGCTGTTTTATCAGGTACCCAGTGAAGAAGCCAACAGGAAACAAAACCCTAATCTATGAACTACTAAGGAGAAAGCCACATCTCCATCAACACTGTCCTGGAAATCTACTATAGATAAAGGGAGCAACCTAACACCCCCACTTCCTTCTAGCACTGATGAGGTTCCCTAGCTGGGTTATGAAATGTCCACAAAAACCCCCCGCCAAGCTCAGAGGGCACCAAGGACCCCACAGTCTAACCCTGAGCTACAAATATTCTATTGAACCATGGTTAATTTGTAAGGCGGCATCAACCTTTTGGCACGATTTTGCTCAGCTGCAAGACGCTGGTTCAGATCAAAGCGATGCTCACATCGACAGTTGTGTGTGTGTGTGTGTGTGTGTGTGTGTGTTGAAGGAAAGCAGAGAATGCTCCTGGAACCTGATGAGGCATCCGACGCAAGGCAAAGGGAACCGATGGCGTTACCTAGTTCGGTCATGAAACGTCTAACAGGAAAACTACCAAGCTCAGACAGCACCGAGGGCCCCGCAAGGGAATAATGGCGCTTTCAAATCCCTGGGGCTGTTTCAGACAACTTTTGCTTCTTCCGGGCAGGTGGACAGGTGGGCACCTGTGTAGAAGAGGGAGGAGGGAAGGGGCGTTAGTGAACCAGGCAGGCAACCCGCTTGTATATAGGACGTAAGTAAGGTGAGAAAAGGCAGGCAGCGCTTCTGCAGATCTTGGGCAGGTCAGGCCCAGTGGCGGACGTCCAACATCATGCGACGCTCGGTGAGGGTTTACACTGAATGGCAGAGCAAGTGGCGTAGACCTGGGAGTCCCTTTGCCCAGGGCAGCTGGCACACTCCAAGCCTTCGCTTCCCGCTCTGGCATTCACTCACCGGGTCTCTAGCCAGTTCCCAAACCATCGGGGCACCTTTGTGCTTCTGGAAATGAGCGATCAGCACTGACTATCGCTTTCTCTCTCTCTTCATCCATCCATCCATCCATCCTTAACTCTCTCATCCTCTATCAATCCTTCCCTCTTTCCTCCATCCATCCTTTCTCTCCTCCATTTTTCTCTCTCCATCTTTCCATCCTGTCTTTCTCATCCATTTCTTTATCCATCCATCCATCTACCCATTCATCATTATCTCTCTTACATCTCTATCAATCCTTCCTTCCCTCCCCCTTTTCCTATCTGTCCTTCCTTTTCTCTTATTTCTCCATCTATCTATCCATCCCTTCTCTCATTCATTTTCTCTCTCCATCCATCCATTCATTCTCTTATCTTTTTCATTCTTTTTTCCCCTTGAGCCATCCGCTATCTCTTTCTCTCTATTCATCCATCTATTCATCCATCCATCCTTTCTCTCATCCATTTTTTCTCTCCATCTTTCCATCCTGTCTTTCTCTCATCCATTTCTTTATCCATCCATCCGTCTACCCATCCATCATTATCTCTCTCACCGTCTCTATCAATCCTTCCCTTCCCTCCCTCTCTCCATCCATCCCTTTTCTCATCCATTTTTTCTCTCCATCCATTCTCTATCTTTTTCCTTCATTTTTTTCTTTCTTGAGCCATCTGGTATCTCTTTCTCTCTATTCATCCATCTATTCATCCATCATTTCTCTCATCCTTTATCAATCCTTCCCTCTTTCCTCTTTTCTCCATCCATCCATCCTTTCTCTCATCCATTTTTCTCTCCATCTTTCTACCCTGTCTTTCTCTCATCCATTATTTTATCCACCTGTCTACCCATCCATCATTATCTCTCTCTCACCATCTGTATCAATCCTTCCCTCCTTCCCTCTCCCTTCTCCTCTATGTCCTTCCTTTTCTCCCTTATTTCTCTATCCATCCATCCTTTTTCTCTCATCCATTTTTTCTCTCTCCATCCATCCTCCACCTTTTTTCCTTCATTTTTTCTCTCTCTTGATCCACCTGCTATCTCTTTCTTTCTCGTCCATTTCTCTTTCTCGCTATTCATCCATCTATTCACCCATCACGATTTCTCTCTCATCATCTCTTATCAATCGTTCCCTCCCTCCCTCCTTTCTGTCTCTCTTCTTTCTCTATCCGTCCTCTATCTCATCCTGCCTTCCAATCTCTCTCTCTCTCTCTTTTTTGGAGGGAGAGATGGGCAAGTGGGTAGAACACTGTCCCTCTTCGTCTTCCTCACCTTGTTTGGACGTTTCTGGACCGGGAAGAAATCCTTCATGGTCTTGGCTGCCTTCTTTGGTCTGCCCTTGGCCTTGGTGACGGCCTCCCGGGCCTCCCTGAGCTTCTGGCGGGCAGCCCGCCACTTCTCCAGGCGCCCCCGAACCCGGCTCTCTCTGCGGAAGTTAGTTGACTCTACTTTATTGTCATTGCACCTCGTACCGTGAAATCCAACACCATCTTCAGTGCACATCATGACCATGAAAATATACACAAACCCACATCCTTCACACACCACACACTGAACGGAAAACCCCCTGATATTGCATTCATATTGCACTATACAGTAGAATTCAACAGAGTTACTGCCCTGGGATAGAAGCTGTTTTTCAGCCCGTTTGTCCTTGTTTTTATTATTCGGTACCGGCTGCCAGATGGTAATAGTTAAAAAAAAAAGGCTTCCCAGGACGAGATGGATTTTGGAGGATGTTTTGAACTTCCTTAAGGCAGCGGGAGCTCTAAAGCTCTTCCAAAGAGGGGAGAGGGCAACCCATGATTTTCTGGGCAATGACTTTAACCCTCTGGAGTGGCTGTCCTATCTGCCCCAATTCCTAAAACCCCACTCCTTTCCAGCATTGATGACATTCCCTAGTTGGGTCACGAAACGTCTGCAAGGAAACAGCCCAGCTCGGAGAGCACCCAGGACCGCTGAGTTCCCATCCTGCTGGGGGTGGGTGGGAAGGAGCCCGTCACCCACGGCGTCTTCCTGACCGCCTCCTCGCCCAAATTTCCGACCCCAGAGGACCCCTCCCCAGAGCCCCAAAGCAGATGCCGACACGCTAAGACCAGTGGTGGCATTCTACTGGTTCGGCCCGGTTCACTTGAACCGGTAGTAAAATAAAATAAAAAATAAACGCTAGCTGGTCAGCCGAACCAGTATTTCCGATGAGCAACTGGCCGATGATCAGCTGTGCCGCGCGATTTAGACTAGCTAGAAAGCAGGAAATCGCTGGATTTCTTGCTTTCCAGCTTATCTAAATTGCGCGGCGCAGCTGATCCCCTCCCCCACTTCAAAATGCTTTTTTTTTTTTTTCAATGCTTCCCTGAGGCCCCCTAGGCCAAAAACAGGGCGCGCAAGGTGCGTGTGTGTGTGTGTGTGTGTGCTGTGAAAGAAAAAAAAGAGAAAGAAAGAGGGAGGGGTGGGAGAAAGGAAGAGAAAAAGAAAAAAAGAAAAAGAAAGAAAGAAAGAAAGAAAGGGAGGGGATAAAGAGAAAGAAAAAAGAAAAAGAAAGGGAGGGAGGGGAGAAAGAAAAAGAACGAAAGGGAGGGAGGAGAGAAAGAAAGAAGGAAAGAAAGAAAGAAAAAGAAAAAGAAAGAAAGAAAGGAAGAGAGGGGATAAAGAGAAAGAAAAAAGAAAAAGAAAGGGAGGGAGAGGAGAAAGAAAAAGAATGAAAGGGAGGGAGGAAAGAAAGAAAGAAAGAAAGAAAGAACGAAAGAAAGAAAGAAAGAGAAAAAGGGAAAGAAAAAAGAAAAAGAAAGAAAGGGAGAGAGGGGATAAAGAGAAAGAAGAAAGAAAAAGAAAGGAAGGGAGAGGAGAGAAAAAAAGAACGAAAAGGAGGGAGGAGAGAAAGAAAGAAAGAAAGGGAAAGAAAAAAGTAAAAGAAAAAGAAAGGGAGTGAGGAGAGAAAGAGAAAGAAAAAAAGAAAAAGAAAGGGAGGGAGGAAGGGAAAAAGGAGAGGAAGGAAGGACCACAAACCTTGGTACTAGATTCAGCTTCAGAGCATGGCAATCCAGTGCTGGAAGGTACCTGGAGGTCATCCAATCCAACCCCGTTCCAGAAAGTGAGTTTCTGTCTTTTGACCCCGCCTCCAGTCACATGACCATCAAACCACGCGCACAGAACCGGTAAAAAAACCTTTTTTTTGAATCCCACCACTGGCTAAGACCCAGAGCCACACCCTCTTGGGGGGGGACGGACGGACGGTGTCTCAAGGGGCCCACTCACTTCATGCACTTCTGGTGCGCCAGGAAGTTCACCAAGCCCTCCTCGTCCAGCTCCTTCCACTCCAGCAACGCCTGGCTCGGATCCGCCACTTCCGGCTGAAGAAAGAGCCGCCGCGTCTCCTCCAGGCGCCAGCCGTCCGGCACGGGATGGCTCTGCAAGGAGTGAAGTCCTGAGCACCAGCCGCCGCCTCTGCCCTGTTGCTTTAACGGGCCCTGGACCCCTGAGTTTGGAGGGTGCCCCGCCAAGGCCTTGCCCACATTCCTTGCGGGGCCTTTTCCAGCCCCCCCCTCCCCATAGAGGGAGCCCTCACTTGTTAAGTGACCCTTCACAGTTGCAACGTCACGGAAGAAAGGACTGTCAGGATTCCAGCAATCGCCCTAATCAAATCATGATCCTTGAGACAAACTCAAGGGCGACAGGCTGGCCCTGCCCTGGATGAAGCCAACTCTGGCCTACATCATTTACAGCCCCCTGGGACCCTGTTTCCCCCCCCCCCGCCCCGGGTGTGTCATCAATCAGATTCTCCAACTGAGCCCGTTCACAGGCTGGGTGTCATCAATCACGTTCTCCAATTAAATATATTTCCCCAGTCAAAAGCTCTGGTAGTTTAGTTACAGTCTTTTAAAGAGAAGAGTTGGAATGTATTTTTGCTTCCAAACTGCCGCGCGGCTCTTCCAGATTTCCTTCCTCTCCTCCTCCTCCTGTTTCTATGGCAACCACTCAAACAGGCCTGGGAACCTTTTAGGAGTTGACAGACTGTTTTTCCACACTTCCGACCGCTGCGGCCTTCTCGTGGTCATGGGATCAACGTTCAGATGCTTGGCAACTGGCATGGACTGATGACAGTGGCAGGGTCCCGGGGTCATGTACTGCAGCAGCTCCAGGCACGCAGAAAATATTCCCTTGCTTCTTTAGACGCAACTCCAGAGAGGGCCAAATCCCCTAAGCGGTGTTGCCTTGGGCTGGATCTGGTGCTCTCTGAGCTGGGTGGTTTTCTTGCAGACGTTGCATGACCCAACTAGGTAAAGCCATCAGGGCTAGAAAGGAAGGGGGTTTACAGAGAGGAGGAGGAGGAAAAGAAAAGGAGGGAGGAGAAGGAAGAGGGAGGAGGAGGAAGGAGGAGGAGGAGAGGGAGGAGGAGGAGGAGGAGGAAGAGGGGGTAAGATCCTTGGTGCTCCGAGCTTGGTTGTTTTCTTGCGGATGTTTCATTAAGCAAACTAGGCGACCCCATCCATGCTAGGTGCAACCACCCAATAGCACTGAAAAGGTTACCTAGTTGGGGTAAGGAAACATCTACAAGAAAACCACCCGCCTCAGAGAGGACCGAGGACCAAGAGGAGCCAGGACAAACGAGAGGCGGTCAAGCTATTCTGCAAAGCCCCCGAAGGCAGGACAAGAACCAACGGATGGAAACTCATCCAGGAGAGAAGCAACCCGGAATTAAGGAGAAACTTCTCGACAAGTGAGAAGAATTAACCGGTGGAACTCCTTCCCACCAGAAGTTGTGGGTGGGTTCCATCAGTGGAGGTTTTCAAGAAGAGACCGGACAGGCATTTGTCTGAAATGGTGCGTTATGATCTTCTGCCTAAGCAGGGGGCTGGTCTAGAAGACCTCCAAGCTCCCTTCCAGCTCTTATGCTGATTCTGACCTCTCATTTTCAACCCGGAAGCTACAAATATTCTCCTTGGATTTGTTCGTGGTCAGAGTGGCATCACCGGGGTTTGTGGCAAACTCGGAGGAGCAGCCGTAAAGCCCGGCTGGGCACGGAGGGGGCATTTCCAGGAGGGGTATTTGAGTGCATATTGTGTGCAAATAAAGGAAGGAGAAACCTCAAAAGAGAGACCCTCCCTGCACCCCCCTTTCCCCAATCCCCTTATCCTAGACCCCCCCACCTCTATCCCCTAATCCCATCAGAGCTTGGCATTGGGAGGCGCCCAGAGATAAAAACCACATTTACAAGCCGTTCAAGAGACTGTAAAAACACGAAGGGAGCCAGACAATAGCAGAACAACCCACTCCTGCAGCCAACACCCAGATAAGCAAGGGATTAGCACTGATGGTGTTACCTTGTCAGGTAACTGAAGGAACTTACACAACTTTGAAATCTTTGAAGGCCTTTGGATCACAGAGCCCTAACCAGGCGTTTCTCCCTTCCAGCAAGCTTTGTGGCTTTTCCCAAGGGTCAGAAAAACACTCTATTTACACCTAGGAGGATCTGCTGAGAAGCCCCTCTAAACTGCAAAACAAACAGACCCTGGGTTTTTTTTTCCACGCTCTCCCCCTTCCCGTCCAGGTTCCCCCCAACTCTTAATAGCATCCTTGTTCTGGTAAAAGTAGGGACCCTACCTCCACCCCTTTTGGATCTTTCTCCTCTGAGTCTACGCCGGGGGGGTCTCCAACCGTGGCAACTTTGAAGACCTGTTGGACTTCAACGCCCAGCATAGCCGGCTGAGGAATCCTGGGAGTTGAAGTCCACGAGTCTATTATTTTGTTTTAACGGTTAGAGGAAATTATTCAATGCAGGTTGGGGTGGTAAGCCCAGAATTATTTCTCCAGGGAATCATAAAAGACAAACTACCCCCCCAAAGATCCGATATCTGATTATACACAATATCTATGAAATATATGATTGACACCTCTTCTATTATAGAAATTTTTGTAAAAATTTTTTTTAAATATTTTGAATTTTGGTAAACTTTTAAATATTTTGATCTTCAATAAAATGTTTTTAAAATTAAAAAAAAAAAAGAAGTCCGCAAGTCTTAAAGTGGTCGAGGTTGGAGACCCCCTGGGTCTACGCCATCCTTTCAAGACCACCCTTGGCCAGGGGTTTTGGGGGGGGGGGGGTGGAGGCCAGTGGGCAATGCTCGTATTGAGCTGTGGGGCAGCCTTAACATTTCTCCCTAAGGAGAAACTTCCTAACAGTGAGGACAGGGAACCAGTGGAACTGCTTGCTTCCAGAAGTTGTGGATGCTTCATTGCTGGAGGTTTTTGAGACTGGAAGGCCCCTTGTCTGAAACGGTCTAGGGCAGGGGGTCTCCGACCCTGGCAGCTTTAAGACTTGTGGACTTCAACTCCCGGAATTCTTCCTCCAGTCATGTTAGCTCAGGAATTCTGGGAGTTGAAGTCCACAAGTCTTAAACTAGCCCAAGTTTGAAGACCCTTGGTATAGGGTTTCTTGCCTGAACAGGAGGTTGGACTAGATGCAGGGGTTCCCAACCTTTTGGACCTCAGGGACCCCCCGAACTCATCCTTTTAAATCCCGTGGACCAAAGACCCCAGGAAAGTCCCCCCAAAATGTCTGCAGGAAAATTTGACACCCCGTTTTCCTACCAATCAACTGTTCTTTATTTGGGATCACAGGATACCGTCTCCAGCTCCGTTCTCAGGTGGGGAGAGAGAGAGAGAAAGAGAGAGGGAGAGACTTTTGGCTTCATGCAAGGAAAGCAGCAGAAGCCGCAGAAGTCTTTCTTTCTCTCCCCCAAACTCTGCCAGAAATGGGTCTTTTGTGTCGGCGCAGCCTCTTGGAGCAGGAAGGCCTTGCAGGGTCCCCAAGGCTCATTTCTGGCGGAGTTTGGGGGAGAGAAAGAAAGACTTTGGCTACTTTCCTTGCGTGCAGCCGAAAGCAGAAGAAGAAGGAAGCAGAGAGAAGCAGCCCAGTGGCCAGGCCAGGTGCGGGGTGCGAGTGAAGCAAGTTCCCCCTTCCAGTCTTTCCCCCCTCCTCTCACTCTCTTGTGTTGTTCACAATGCAAGCGGCACAGCCTTGTGTTCCCACGCAGCCTGGATTAATTGCTTTTTTTGGGGGGGAACATTTCTCTGCGGACCACCAAAATTTTCTCGCGAACCACCAGTGGTCCCCAGCCCACTGGTTGGTGACCGCTGGACTAGAGGACCCCCAAGGTCCCTTCCAGCCACATGATTCCAAGATTATGACTGGACACAAATGGCATGGCCGAGAAGACCAAGCAGGACACACCAGGCAACGCACGTGCCAGCTTCTCTTACTCATCAACGCTGCTCCGCTTTGAACGGGGCCTTCGCAGAAGCCTAAATCTCCCTGGAGGTTCTCCACCATCCAGGTCAGGGTTGTCCCAAAGGGGCTTAATTTTCCCCCAAAAAAGGGCAACTGGACTTTCCTTGAGTTTTCCTTGAAAGCATTTTTGCTTCTCATCCAAGAAGCTTCTTCAGTTCTGGCTGAATGATGGTGGCTGGTGAACGGAAGGAGCATTCTCAGAGAGAGTGCTAACAACCCGAGGACTGCATATGAATCCTTCCACTCACCCACGTCCCATTCAGAACCGGAGAAGCTTCCTGGATGAGAAGCAAAACATTTTCAGGAAGAAAACCAAGAAAAGTCCGGTTGCCTTTTTTGAGGGGGGGGGGAGGCACCTTCACAGCTGTTGTCAGGAAGAGCTGGCTCTACTGCCTGGCAACAGATTGGTGCCTTCGTTGACAAACAGAATAGAATAACAGAGTTGGAAGGGACCCTGGAGGTCTTCTAGTCCAACCCCCTGCCTCGGCAGGAAACCCTATACCTTTCTAGACAAATGGTTATCCAGTCTCTTCCTAAACACGTCCAGTGATATGAAGCATCCTCTGGAGACAAACTGTCCCACTGATTAATTGTTCTCACTGTCAGCAAATTTCTCCTTCGTTCTAGGTTGCTTCTCTCCTTGATGAGTTTCCACCCGTGGCTTCTTCTCCTGCCTTCTGGTGCTTTGGAGAATAGCTTGACTCCCTCTTCTTTGGGGCAGCCCCTGAGATACTGAAAGACTGCTCTCCTGTCTCCCCTGGTCCTTCTCTTCCCTAGACTAGCCAGGCCCAGTTCCTGTAACCGTCCATCGTATGTTTTAGCCTCCAGTCCCCTCTAATCATCTTTGTTGGTCTTCTCTGCACTCTTTCTACAGTCTCCACATCCTTTTTTACATCGTGGGGACCAAAACTGGATGC